TATAATAAAGTGTAATCTGAATTATCGTAGATTAAAAAATCGTATATCAAATTTAAATAAATTGCGGGACGCGCAAGGTTTTTCCCCGGTAATCACATGAAAATCATTTGAGCAACTAATAATACGTGACGAGTCGAACTCACAATTGTACACATATTTTTAGTTATACAACATTAACATGTGACAAAAGTCATAGATCTTTTGCTTAGAGCCAAATTCTTTTCTTTACTTTGGCACAAGTAACGTGCATAGAAGAATTCGACTTTTGTTCCTTTTTCTAATATTTGATAGCAGAATCTTTTACTATTCGAAAAAATATATTCTTTTCACAACAAGTCGATATGTTATACATACAAATAATAGAGAATCTATGTATATACATATATTCTTCCATATGCACAAGTTTCTTTTTTTTTGTAACATTTAATTTTTATAAAAAATTGAATGTGAAAGATGAGTTTTTCTCTAAAAATTGCACAAACGACACGAATGTTTCCTAAAAGCATGCTGGCAAAATATTTAACGAAAATTCAATTAATAATCATGTTTTAATGCTGCGATATATGCAGTCCTTGTTTTAATACTTTATTGGTATCGCAAATACAGTTGTCTTCTATTTTCTATATTTCTATTTTCTATTTTATAATTTTCCCAGCATGCCTTAAAATACTCAACGTAACGAAAATATAGTATTATATAAACGTATATATTCATATAAAAGAAATCTCTTTCGTAAAAAAATCTCAGTACTGAAGATATAGTATGTGGTACACATAGAGTCCAAGAATTAGCTCTAATACCGAAAGATTAGACCGGCAAATGATCTAAAATCGTGAACACTCATATAATACTATTACGCGCACGATACAGGGTACGTGTGCGTTACACCGACGTAGAGACTTTTTTTTACTTCCGAGTAAAAAAAAATCTTTACGCTGGAATCTCGTGCATTTCGAAGATGCACAGAATAGATTTCAAGTAAAATACCTTTTCTATGAGTTTATGGAATGATATCATGAGCTTATTGCTTTAAACTGAAAGTTCGTTTCCATCGTTTCCATTTAGATCGAGCTATCCACGCTAAAGATGCATTATAATAATCTCTTATATATGATAAACCGATACGTACGTACTTCTATGGGCATCTTTTGTACGTAAAACGGATAGATGCTTATATACGATTATAGTCGCAGATAAAATGGACGGCATAGAGTTGATTCCCGCAAGATCTTCGAATCAATAAACTACCATGACGGTGACAGACACACCGCGCGATGAGCAGAATATCGAATTTAGGTACATAGAGAAGAGGAAGTGATACCCGGAAGAGATTTCCAATCGGGCGTAAATGACCTACGTGTCTCAAATAGACGATAGGCTTAGAAAGGGTCCATAATGAAGATCTCGCGGGCCGTGTCCTAGAACCTATCTTTACCGCGATGAGAGCCGAGGGTACCCATTCCCGGTTGAGAGGAGTCCGGATCAACCGCGTCTTGTAGATACTGTAGTTCCTGTAGTTCTTGGAATTTTTCGTGATCTCGTATGTGTGCGTAGTTGGCAGACAAACACATCAGGTAATGTATTAGGCTCAGAATCACAAGCATGGCCGCCGCAGTCGCCAGGATGAACATCACCTCGGCCTTCTCCACGAAGTCCTTGCAGAAAAGTTTGACCTCCTGGGGTCCACATACTTGCATATCTTGCACGCGTGTATTGTTAGGAAACATAAAGCCTGAAATAATGTAAATTTGCTTATTTTTTAATTCGATTTCAAGATAATAAAACATTCAACAAAACTATAACAAAGTAAAATATAAAGTAGGCATTTTTAGGAAATCGAAAATATATATAAATTTAAACATAATGTAATTTATATATATATATATATCTTTCTATATTTCGATTGGTATGTATCAAGACTTACTGAATTGAGTAAAATCAATGCATTCGTCAAGAGATTGGACACGTGGATTGCTGCATAAGCCCCAGAATATGGTGAATATTAGCGTAGTGATAATCAAGAATGCGAATATCAAAAGCCAAGCAATTTGTAAGATGTAGATAATAGTCATAAACTGAAAAAATAAAAATATTTATATTAAGATAATTAAAATAGTTTCTAACTGCCACAAAGATGTTTTTCACTATGACATTTTAATATTTTATTTAAAATCTTAAATATTTCAATTAATATTTTAAAAACTTACGACAGCACAAGAGATACGTCCACCCACTCTAGATCTCCACGCACGGTAGACTTTGTGCCTTGTAGCACCAGTCGCAAGACAACCGACACACAAAATCATGAATCCTAAAGCTGCCATACAAGCCCCAATTGACGCAAACACCAATTGCACTGCTTCCAACCATCCGAGATGCAGATGAAACACCTGAATAGATTTCATAATTTAAAATTTACATAATTTACAAATCATTCAAAAAAAAGCAAAAAGCAAATTGTCATGCGATTTACCTGGTCCATCATCAGAGCACACAATGTCGCACCTCTGTACATGGTTCCACAGAAAATTCCAACTCCCAAGCAACACATAATGGTTGCTATGAGAGTTGCATACGGCACTCTGGCCATGCACTCGTTGCACATATTCCCTGAAAAACAAATTTTTTTTTTTATTTTGTTACGAAAAGCTACTGTTTCCTATTTAATTTCAATGTTAATTATAATCAGAATTTTATATGTTGAAATTTAGATATAACAACCATATCACACATGTAATGTCAAAAAATAATTTGACATGATACAGGTCATTGTTGAGGTAAAGTTGTAACTAGAAGCAGGTTCAACTTTTTGCTACGTTTGCATTTGTGTGGTAAATATGATTGTGATTTCTAACCGTTTATCATCACGTTTCAACAGCACTTTTCTATTTTTACTAATGTAGATTAAGTTTAATCTGGGTTTAATTTTTATCTTTTTTTTTTTATTTAAGAAAGAGTAAATTAAGCCGAGATTAAAATTAATCTACAGTTGGAAGCAGATATCAGACACTTACTACAATCTCGTTCCCTCGAGTGTAAGCCGTGCAAACTACGCTCGGAGAATCTATCTAGACTAACGTTACTCGCAAAGTTGCCACGCAGCGGCAGACTCTCTCTGGCCAGACGCGACTCGCGTAATTTTGCCATTCTAATATAATTATAGAAGTAACAACAGCCAATTCGACAATAAAAATAATTGAAGAACCGCGTAGCGATCCGTGTAGGCGTTCGGACAATGACTAAATCGCAACCAACGACGATGACTAATCGCTTATCTGCAGACTGGTCAGATAACGCGCAACGTGCAAACGCGTGCAATTCTGACGTGCGTTCATTCACAAACTCGGCAGTGCCGTTAGCGTCGTGTCAGGGCGTCTTCGACGAAACTAATTAGCGCGTGGCGTTTATTATTATTGACATCCACGATGCCGTTCGTCTCTTAATGAGGCTTAACGGGCTCGCTCGATATTCGTTCACGCCGAAGAGTCTAATTGTAATGTACGTTGTACCAAAATTAGTTGAATGTTCACGCAATCGGTTATCGATTATGTCAAATCTCAGAGATACCTCTGTTTACAACCGTATGGAACCGTTATGACGCTCTTTCACACGCTCTTTGTTCGACGATCGTCGAAAGGAAAATCACGCGATGCAGAAGATCATGTTGATTTATGACGCATGAACGAAAAAGTTTTATGAGAATTTTCGTCGGATTAATATATGACAGACTCACCCATATTCGCAGCTTGTGTTGCGCGTCGCGTCCACTGAGTTTTAGGTTAGGTACGCCCGGAGGAGGCAGGAAGGGCAGCGCCCGTATGTACGTACATACGTACAACAACGCGTGTCGCTGAATCCCCCGATTATATAGTAGACGTTTCCTCATTAATTGCTGCAGCAATGAAGGACATCCCACTCGCGATCTCAATCGCTCGAGCGCGAAAAGAGAAAGATCACTAGCGAGCGGATTCAATAAATACTCAATTCCACAAATTGCATGCCAACGATTTAAGGAACCTATCAGGTATTTAGCTCTCTTCTTCTCTCTCTCTCTCTCTCTCTCTCTCTCTCTCTCTCTCATCTGCAAAAATTATAAATAAATTAGTATGATTATTACAAAATATGCAGTATTTAATTGTTAAAAAATTTATAATGGTTACGTTATATTTATAGAAAGATTATACATTTTTCTTAAAATATCATAAAATTTGTATTCTGCAATGACAAATTTTTTATTATGCTGTCGTAACAAGCATAATAAACGCAAGCATGCTCTTTGTATAATTTTTTTCTAAACAAAATTCTTTCTAATTTATTAATAATATAAAATAAATGGAGAATAGAATAAGGCTTTTTTGTTCATGAGATAGCGATAATATTTATGTTTCCGAATAATATATTTATTAATATCTGAAAATCACGTTTGTATTATCAAAAAGCAATCACATTTGTGTAATATAATTATAAGCACATCATTGTACAAAGACATCATTGTACATTATTTTTCTGCAAATATTCATATCGTGTTGAAATTATCGAAACAGTTTTACTTTATATGATAGAAAAACGATATATTAAAAATATTATTTTTATAAAATATGATTAGACAAATAAAATAATAATAAAATTTTATCAAAGTATATATATTTTCATATACATTACAATCATATATAAGATACGATGTATAATTAGAATTATTAAGTATGTACGAATATTATTAAAAGTTAAGAAGTTAGAACCTTACAAATAAAAAAATTAATATATATTATTTAAAAAATATAATAATCCCAATGAATGATTTCATATGAGAAATTTATAAACAAGTTCAATTTCTTTGTATTTAAATTATATGAATGAAGTTAATAATGTATGATTGATTGGAACACATCGTATTTGGATAGGATGTGCAACGTGATTTATAAAATCCATGAAACGAAGATCCTTTAAATAATCTACATATTCCAAATAAAAATTGTATTCCAACGGTGCTATTAACGGTTTGATTTAATTATCAAAAATTAAAATAAAATCAATGTTTATATCAATATTTATATTATATATTTCTATAAAACATTTTTCTATTGCTGTTCTATGTCTGAAATATTTAGTTAACTAATTACTCACGTAACTGTTCATCTTCACATCTTCCGATAAGATTCGCATTACATAAGGAATACTAGGATATAATCTTAATGATTCCTTTAAACATCTTTTCAAATAAGTTATATTATTTGACGCTGACATGAAAGTTTTCCTTCATTTGCCTGCGTCCGTGCCATTAAATATAATTTGCATTTAATACGTATGTATTTTGTAATAAGTATAGCGATAATTTATCGTAACAGATAAAATACAGTAAGATACATTTATCTATCTAAATCAAATTAATTATAACGCTAAATAAATAGTAATGAGTCTATAAGGGTGCGTTTACTTTCGATAGCTTACGCTCTATAAGCACCATTATATCTTTATTATTCATTAGACGCCAAAGATAGAATGATAGAATAATTCTTACAGTGCATGAGCGCCCAAAACGGACGCATCCTAAATAAAACAGCAAATGTACGATATAGACTATTTAAAAGTTATTTAAAATGTAACAATTATATTATTTAAAGTTCCACTATCGAAAGATGTAACGTGGAAAATTCTGTTCGTAATTGTTGAATGTTCGTTGCAACCAGATTATTGTTGTGGCCTTGAGTTGTGTTTACGCGCCGCGCCGCGCCGCGGTATGTCATTGTGTTTACGAGCGCGCCACGTGCTATCATTCATTCACCGGCGTTCGTACGGGCGGGTAGCCTCCGAACCGCTGCTCCGAATTTCTTTGTATTTCTTTAATACCGAATGATATCAAACGTTGCTTTATCTTATAGCTAATACGATATAATGCTTATTAATCGACGTGATTGACGATTTATCGATTTACATGTCGAAATAATTACTCTTTAATGAAATATATACATATTTCAATTGATTTATTTCTTTGAAATTCACGACTTTTTATCAAACATTCACCCCTCTAAAGGGTACGACCTTGACGTGGCAGAGGGGCTCAGTATTCTGAGGGATTACTTAAGCAGCGCTATTAGTCGGCAGAATAGTTTGCCGATTAACTTGTGCTACTTGGGTATACATATATACCCCAAAGACGAAGAAGCTAATAGTACCCATTGCACCGTTATTAATAACATTAATATTAACGTTAGATAATATTACTGTTACTAATAATGTATTAACACAGTATAGCCACGAGTCGTGAAATGGCTCTTATGTGGCAAAGTGATTAATGCGTTTCACGCATTAATCGTCGGTTTTGAACCGACATTCCGCCGCCGATTTAATTGCGAATGAACGAACTGTAGCCAGTTCGTCGCGTCGCGCGTTTGCTTCGGGAGTGCCGTATAGTAATCGGACTAAGAGACTTTTCCTCGTCCTACGAGGGCTCGTTTGAAAAATACCATAGTTCGTGCCGGGAGTCGCACCGTCAAGGGGTGCAGGGAGTGCGGGATCTCATTGAGACGTAGTCGGCTACGTCTTCACGCCACGTGCGCCGCGGCACCGGTGATGCCGGCTGTGAATGTTACACGCACTCGCTACCGCTTGATGTGTTGTGTTTCGCACAGTTGCAAACTGCATTAAACGGCTGATTGAGAACACGCTCTGTCTTCGACAAGTGGTTCGGTCCCAATCGGCAAGATTTCAATCGGCTGACTTGTTTTCGTCGCTTCTCTTGATTTCTTTTTTTCAACACAGCATTGCCACGAGTCGTGAAAGGGCTCCTATGTGGCGCGTGCGTTTCACGCACTGATTTACGCGATTATATAAGCGCGTATTGGTCTGGAGCGCTCGGACTATTTCTCATTTTCGACACAGCATTGCCACGAGTCGTGAAAAGGCTCCTATGTGGCGCGTACGATTATTTAATCGCCACCTTTATTTTTCCTTCCTTAATACCTTATTCTTCCCTTTCCTAAAACAAATCGCGTTTAATCTGACTCGATCAGAGCTTAGTTCGGGCGGTTATTGCGTGTGCCGAGAGGCTGGATCCCAGTTGTCCGATTGTCTAGATTGTTAGGCATCGGCGATGGGTACCTTCTCTCTCGTCACATCTACCAGCCTTCTCGATAGCCCGGATGACTTTTGATATCACGTGTATGGTATCCGCCCTGGTGATTCGACCTGAACCGTTGGCTATGCGATGGTTGAGTCAATTTTAGACGTGATTTCTAAGAAACAAGAGACGTCGGATTCAAGTCAGTCGATTCGTCTTCTTCCGCTTCGGTCCTAGCCTTTGCTTGAGGAGTTACCGTGTGTCCCGAAAAGCTCACCGACTCGGGTGCTGACTGGACCGACGGAACTTGGTATTTTCACGGGCAGCAAAAATTAGTCCGCGCGCGATTATAATTCGCGAGTGTTTTTCGCGAGTGTCCTGTGCTGCGAGGACATCCGACGACCCGACATCTTGAGAGGAGGAGGAGGCCTAGGAGAGGCATCGGGCACCGGCGGAGCAACCTTGCGGTGAGTATACATTTTTTGTCAAGATGAAATTATTTCTTTTCTTATTTACTTAGATCATTGAATTTCAATAATTTAAAATTTACAGTTTGAGAAAGAAAAATAATTCAATGTTTAACATGAATTTATTTCTATAAAGATCTTTTTTGAAAATTATTTATTAATTATTAATTACTTTAATAAATATCTAATTGAAAAACACGTAGATTCGACATAAAAATTTTTTAAATATCTATTATTTAGAGCGCTGTTATAATTTGCATCTGTTTGTGTGTTACAGAATCATCGTAGCTACGTTGCAGATTAACTCCGCTGTTGCGCATCGAGTCGGTGAGTAATAAATTTTTTATACTGGGGTAACAAATCTGTGAAATTTATATTAGACAATTTTTATGCATTTATTATTAAAGTATTGCAGTTGAGTATATTTTCATAGATTTGTTGCCCTAAAATGGATAGATTTAAACAGTTTAGGATTGTATATTTAATCTTGGTATAACACTCTTTATTAATTTATTGTGATGCACTTGTACAAACATAGAGTTCTTTGTATCGATTTCGTTACTTTATATTTTTCATATTTCATTTGCGGGATGTATTAATTGCTAAAAAATTATCAAATAATCTTGCTAAGAAAATATAAGTAAAGTAAGTTAAATAATTTAATTGTTTTAAGAAATTAAATACTTATGTATCATATAAAATAATAGATATTTTTAAAATAATAAAGTTTAATTAATTAAGTATTTTTTGGAAATATATAGAATTTATTCATCTATAGAATTAATATATAGAATTTATTAAATTTATTAAATTTTTGAGATAAATTGTTAACAATTGAAATGGCATAAAATCGCGTAAAAAAATTCAATTAGTATTCTTTAAAAATAAATTTAAGTTTTTATTTTAAATGTTTTTATAATATATATTTCTCATATTAAATAAAGAAATATAAAATATAAAATGAAAATATAATATGAAATATAATATAATATAATATGAAAATATAAAATATAAATATAACTATGACTCTCTGTTGGATTGGATTACTATGGTTTAAAAAGTAGTAATCTTCGAGGCCCGATCGCCACTGTCTAAATTGATTGGGCATTGTGTCTAGGCCTATCCTAGACTGAGCACATTAGATCAACAGCTCAGTTGGGGCAGGGATTAACTGGAGGTCACGGTCCTCCGATCTATCCTGAGCCCACATTCTAGGCGTACGAGACCTTCGGGAAATCTCTATTGCGTCTATACTGCAAGCTGCCTAACGGAGGCTTAAAGTAGTCTGAGAGTAGGCATGTACTCTCGCCTTTCGGAGGAAACGTGCCTTGCAGAGAAGGTTGTCAGGTGTCCTGGCTTTACGAAGTCCAGTGCGCC